AGAGAGAGCGCGAGCGAGCGAGAGAGGGTGTGTGTGGTCAGGTTTCAAACCTATCACGTCTAAGGTTCAAAGTTCGGTAGACCCAAAACCAAAGTGTGGCTATGGCTATGTCCAGTTCGAAGAGTGTGGCCGTGTGGCCCCGGATGCTGTTGGTGACTGCCTTACAATGGGGTTTTGCCCGGCTTGCACCACTTCCTCCATGCAGTTCGCCGTTTTGCTGGCTTCCATCTCGGCACCACGCTTCGTCTTCTCCTTTACCGCCTCTAGACCCCTAAATTCTAAACCGCCTCTCTTGGATTTGTCCTCATTTCACCAGTGACACCAGACCCGGTGACCCGATCAGGAGGCTCGGGCCTGCTTTAGGGGCCTCCGTCTCTCAACCCCGACACCGTAAACTAAAAGCCAAGGAAACAAGACCTGCATCTTGAAACCTGAACCCCATACCCCTTGGGTACTGCCCCCCATGCAGTAGCAAGACTATAATAAGGGTACGATTAAGGGCCTAATATGTCTATATTATGAATCTTATTGAACTGTTACTGAGTGGGGGCAGTAATCATCCAACCCATACCCCCTGGGTCCCGGTCCTACTCACGGATAATGTAGACCATACATCCTACTGTAGACCCCTGATCAATAAACCCACCTGCTTCGACGGGATGTATATGGGATCTTGCATACTATTAAGGATTTGAACCGGGTTTACGACCAAAGCTTCCACACACATCACATACACAAGACTCGATTATTGCACCTGCGTCTTGCGCTGCAACAACTCCTCCTTCTTCAAGACGCCTCTCGTGGAGACGGTCATGGTCGTACTGTTGATGGAATCCGTATTCCCTTAATCGGAAACCCTCACACTCAGAAGAAACCCTACTGGGAACAATACAGGATTTGGCCCAGCAGCAGTGTCAAAGCCAGAAGCAGGGAATTCGGATTTGGGGACGGGGGGTTTGGCGTTCAAGCTTTCCCACTCAGGTTTCAGGGGTGGCGCTCTCAGGCAGGTACTTGCTGCTTCAGATAGAGGTCAAATATCGTGATGGATAATGTGCAGTACAATGACTGTGATGGTGATTACGATGGTGGTGCTTATCAAGCCGGAGACCTAACCTGTCGTCGTGGTGAGTGCCATCAGAGGTTCGCACTTGGAGTTTCGGATTCTGAGCGTTGAGCTTTAGGTTCAGGCTTGGGAGCTTTAATCCCTAAACCCCAAGCTCCCAAACCCTAAAATCCCTAAACCCTAAACTCCCAAAACCCTAAACTCCCAAAACCCACGCTCCGGCCATTGGGCCGGTGTGAGGACCACTGGAAGTGGTCTCTCTTCTTTGACCCTACGGGTGAACGGGTTTCTCAGGCTGCAGCAACCGGAGGAACATAGGACGTAACCAACCACTGGCGCCGATGATAATATTTAGTATACTGCTGGTTGTCAGGGGAACGTGCAACACCACACGGAAGATATTAGCAACCCTTCCATTGGCATCCGGGCCGACATGTGTCTACCAGTCCGAAACCCTAAAACCCTAAACCCTAAACCGTACCCTAGATCCTGAAACTCTTAACACCTTACCTCTAGGCCCTGAAGCCGTACTAGAGGGGCCCAAAAAGTTCCAATAGGGTTTTGGGGGTTCCTTATTGTGATTCTAGTATAATCTACCCCAAGATCCTATTCTAATTATTAAGGCCCCTATGCTAAACCAGTCTGTAGAACTTCACGCCGCATAGTCCGGTGAGCCTGCTGTAGGCATGTTGATCTTGGGATCGATGTTTTCAAGGTCCTCCTGGCCTCAGTTGGCGTTTGGCTTTGGGGTTTAGGGCTTTTTGGGTTTGGGGGTTTCGGATCTTAGGGTTTAGGGCTTAGGGTTTAGGGCTTAGGGTTTACGGGTTTAGCGGTTTTGGGTTTAGGGATTATAGGGCTTTAGGGCTTTAGGGTTTTAGGGTTTAGTGTTTGGGGTTTGGGGTTTATAAGGCAAACTTTCTGCATCAACTCAACACTCGTGTGTACTCCTGCCGGCTACGGCTACTTCATGTAGCAGCCGGATAATATGGGGCCCAAACAATTAGACTAGGATTTCGGGGTCTTTTACAACATGATCAGAATAGAAACCGTAAGGAATAATGTCTCTACTTCTTGAGGCTTCTACAATAAACATCACAAGGGAAAAGGTGCCATGTGATCTGGACTCACGGATGTGTGGTTTGCGCAGCCAAGCTTGACTGGTGCCCGAGGGCTGAATTGCTGCAGCCTGCTTTCTCGTGAGGCCCCAATAGAAGCCTCAATGTGGAACAGTATGGCGGCTCCACAACTAAGTGCCTTCTATTGCTTGCGGATGCACATACTGAAAAGCCTTAATCCAAAAATCTTAGTTCTGGAAGCCGGCACGTCGAACAGAGATCGAACCTCCTCCAAGCCCCAAACCCTCTAAACCTTGAGCCCAAAGACCGAATATCCAAATGGGTTTCGGTGCAAACGCCAACCCCCGAAGCTTATCTAGCATAGGGATAAGCATGGTTGTTTTTCTAGGGTTTAGGGTTTAGGGTTATGAATAAATATCAGAACCACACGCAAATTCCTAGGTCTCTCCTATATTATATACACCGAGTCACTGTTCAAAGCCTCCTCGTCCACGGCCAAGTCTTCGTTCATGAACCTCACCACGGCTAGGCTTAGGAACTAGGGCTCGAAGGCTTCAGGATGTGGGGTTTAGGGTTTAGGGGTTTAGGGTTTAGGGTTTTTGGTTTGGGGTTTGGGGTTTGCGGTTTAGGGTTTAGGAGGTAGGCTTGGTGGGATTTGGGGATCGGGTTTTGGGTGCAGGAAAACTAGGTCCAGGATTAAGTACTAGGATAGCTGGGGTCAGGAACTAGGGCTAAGGGGTTAGGATAGAGGATTGGCGATTCAGGTTTTCCGGTTTCGGGTCAGGATTGATGCAAGGTTTCGCCTTGGAGATTAACCCTAAACCCTATAAGTACTGCACTAAGGTTAGGGGGCTCAGAATTCAGCGCAGGTTTTCGGATTGGAAGGTTGAAGTTTTAATTTCGGTTTTGGGAGAGTAAAGTTGCAAAATGCAGGGGTCAACCAAAAAAAGAAACGAAGCCCAACACCCAGAGCCCCAATAGCTAAAGGAAACTACAGGTGGGGAGTTTAGGGTATATAGGGCTCCTATAAGGATCCTATAAGGTATCTAGACCTTCTATAAGGCTCCTATAACGGTAAATACCCACCTGAAAATGTCCTAGAAACAGAGGGGCACAAGAATTCCTTTCAGGGTTCCTTGAAAGGGCTTCGGGCTTAGTGGGTGTACCGTAGGGGTTTCTGAGGTTTTAGGGTTTCGGGCTGAGGAGTTCCTTTCAGGGCTCCTTTTAGAGGGTTTAGGGTTTAGGGTTCCGTAGGGGCTGCTGTACAGGTTGGATGTAGGGGCCTTCATGCCTAAGAGTTGTTGTGGGGTATATCATGCTGTGGCTAATCTTAAGAACCCTACGGAATAGCATTCAATTTTAATCAGTCTTCTAAACTCCCCGAAACAGAAGCAGTCGAAAACCCAAGATTGAGCAACAATGCCAAACTAAAACATCTTAACCCTAAGTTTTGGCAACCAGTCTTGAACATGGAACCCCCAACGCCTGAACTCTTCCTGCTTTTTTCGGGGAATCCCTCGACCCCTAGCCCTAACCCCCAAATCACATCAACCCCAAAATCCCCAAACCCTAAACCCCAAACCCCAAAATCCCCAAACCCCCAAAATCCCCAATCCCCTAACCTTAAACCCTAACCCCAAAATCCACAAGTCCCTGAAGCGAGGCCTCCTCTGCGACGGGCTCTCATCCCTCCAGCCAGTCCAAAGCAGGTCCCTCGTCTCCGAGGACTCCAGGACCTCGCCCCAGGCTGTCTTTGTTCGCAGCTTCCCAGAAATGGGTTTAGGGATTAGGGTTTAGGGTGAGGAGCCTCCCAAAGTTTAGGGTTTAGGGTGAGGAGCTTCCCAGGGTTTACGGTTTAAGGTTAGTGTGAGGAGCTTGCCAGGGTTTAGGGTTTAGGGTTTAGGGTGAGGAGCTTTCCAGGGTTTAGGGATCAGGGTTTAGGGTGAGGAGCTTCCCAGGGTTTAGGGTTTAGGGTTTAGGGTGAGGATTAAGATTTCAGGGTCTACAAGGTTCCTTCAAGGGTCCTCAAAGCTTAAAGGGCACTGCAAGGGCTCTGGCTCCGTGAGGGTTTAGGGTTCCCTTAAGGCCTTTACGGTCTCCATAAATGCTTAGGGCTTCGGACGGTGCAAGGTTGAGGGCTGTAAGTTCCCTAGATCCCTGTAATCAACAGATCCCGAGGGCTAGAAAACCCCAAGCAAGGTAGCCGAGGGTTTAGGGTTGAGGGGTTGAGGGTTTAGGGTCTTGGGCTAGCGTAAGGCGGCTTTTGCATGGGGTTCCGTGTTGGGATCCTTTTAGGGGGCCGTGCTATGGGGTACTTCGTACTGACAGGTTCCTTACTAAGTGAAGTGAGCCCAAGCCGTACTATGTAGGCCTAATTCACGCAATTTGACTTCTACGGATTGTTGTGAGGTGGGTAGTCCGAACGATTGGAGTAGAATGATGTAACTGTAAGGCCTATACCCAGGCTCCACCCTAAACCCTAAACCCTAAACTACAACCGCCCCT